ATGAATTCACTCATGTATTTGCATGTAGGGTTCCACTCAGCATGCCGCTGAGATTCTGTTGGATATTTGGACAAACAGCCATATTGATTTTTGGCTTATTTTTTTAATGTTTTTGGTGATTGGTACAGATTTTTACAAATCTGAAATATTTTGTGAGACAAGTTTCAGTTGACAAACAGATGGAGGCTTACTAGAACCAAACCGGTGCGCTGATTTCCCATCCGGAAAAAAATCTTTATGTAACGACTGTAACTTGACTGCGGTAGTCCAGCTGTAATGTTTGCGCCTCTACTTCCTGGGTATGAGATCGATTTTCCCCACAAATGCAGAAACTGTACGCTCATTGTGATTCCTATAACTACAAGTTCAAGCAACCTTGAACCAGTTAGTGGAACATTTGATCAATTGCTCACAATCTTAAGTATGATGCAGCACAACTAACTTTTGAACTTTTAGCTTGGTTGATGCTATACATTTGACCAAAACAGAGAAATTAAAGGGATTATTTTTTGGGGTTCTTGTCACTGAATTTCGTTGCTAACTCACGTTAATAGTCTGCCCACCGGCACACTATTTCGAAAACGTCTTCAGTTTTTTAAGACGATATATCTTGTCGGATATAACACTATACAAACACGAAATAATTCAGTGTCAAAAACAAAGCTGTTCAGACTCGACTGGTTTTGAATCAAATTTTGGAGCATTTTTTTAAAGAGCTCATTACATCAAGTTCCCTGCTGTGATTCAGAATAGTTGAAATTGATCGGGATTCGCACTTATTCAAAATAATTCACGCACTTGTAATAGTTCAGGTACATTACTGCGTTAACATTTTGGTTTAAAGAAAACAATCTTGCGAAAGTTCGACTCTTTATATAGGTATGATCAACCACCCCTGATTTTCTGCCTCGTTTTTTCCCTGTTTAATTTCTCATTTTAATTTTAAACATGAAATCCTGATTCGATGTACTCACATTGTATTCCGGCAATCACTCAAACTAATTCAGGATGAAGAGTTATGGGGAAGTTGGTCACGGAAGAACGTTCATCAGGAAATCCGGACAACTCAAACATGCCTGTCTTATTTTGTGTTATCATTTATGTGGATACTCAGTACCCTTTGAACTTTGTTGTTAAACTGTGTCATTTCGCTAGAGTTCACAGTGCGCCATTCCGGTTTGATCATCAAGTTATATTCAAGCACTGCAGGATGAACGTGTAACTGAATATAGAGGGCGCAAATACAAACGGACCGGATCGTGATGATGCTCACAGTTTTATTCAAGTTCAAATTGTTTTATCTAGTTGGATTCATTTGTAGCAATCATGTACAGCGTTGATGTCTGTGCACATTATTCGTCCCTTCTGTTCTCTGTCAAGGGCGGATCCAGAACACAATTGTTTGGGGGTAGCCCCCCCCCCAAAAAAAAAATGGGTCCCCGGAAAGTGGGTCCAAAAAATCACGGCGTGGGGTTCAGGGCCTGCTTAATCATGGGCCCCGAATTTTTTGTAATTGTAAATGCTCTGTGGCGATCTGAGGAAATTTCTGACCACTTTAACCATTTTTGTTTCGAAAAGATGGTAGTGTACCCAGTGCCTGCCTTTATTGCGACGTCACTTAAAAATCAAAATTGTTGGTTTTTTTTTGGGGGGGGGGGCATGGTCCCCCCCCCCCCCCCCCGGATCCGCCTTGTCCGCTGTTCGTCTTAAAATATGAAGCACAAGCTCTGTTTGCATGCAGGGTTCCACTCAGCATGCCACTTAGATTCCGTTGAATATTTTCTTGAAATGGCGATAGTAGTATTTGCTGAATACTTTGAAAGTGTTTGGTCAGTTGGTACAGAAATAATAATAAAAAATTTTTTTTTTCGTGAGAAGCAACAAAATGGCTTAAAAACTTAAGAAGGTCGCAACTAACCTGTTGAAGTTTCAGCTCAGTGGATACTATCATTGAGAAAAAAGCAGAGAAAACGTATGCACTATTTTGTTGGATCTCGTTACTTGATTCCGTGCTTTATAACACCTGAACTATATTTTTTAATTTTAAAAACACCTGCAAAGTTTTCAACCGATATATCAGGCGAAATACTTTCATCGGGTATTTGATACCAGTCTTATCTTCACTCTCAGCATTGCAAGGTTTCTGTCATTAAATGTACTTTTCCGGGCAATTGCAAATGATCCTACGTGGCCTTAAATTCTTTTTGCATACAGATTTCTCTCAGAAAATCTGGGCATTTGTTTTGGCAGTTACTGCGTTTGATTCGAAAATATTAAATCCTTCAAAGAAGACATGAATATTGCTCGTGCGTGGGTCTGTTCAGGGCCGTTGCATACAGGACGCATTCCGCTTAAAAATTATATTATTAATCCAGATCACATTTCGCCCGACAGAGATTTTGATCTGGGGGTGTTTTACTTGTGAAATTCAGCTATGCTTCCCCCAACAGCCCCCAAGATATCTCCCAGCGGATTTTCAATGACTCATTTTCGTTGGTATTATTTCCAGCTCGCAATCTGCTGAGTGTTGAGGATTCCCTTCGTGATAGAATTCAAGAACGTTACATCGAGGTGAGTGTCTGTTATTTGACATTTTCCTGACTCAATCATCAGAACAGAGCAGTGATTTTGGTGGGAGACTGTATTTTTTCTCTACATTTATACACCTTTTGGTCAAAATTTTAACAGAAAACATCGCTCGAGTGATATTCCCTTTCTATAACACCCACCGAAGAACTATGCCAGACATTTTGGCCTGCAGTCTTTGCAAATTCCTCGTTAAACTCATCAGGGTGCCTCGAACTTATAGCGGAAACATGCTGAAATTTCCTTACATTTTTTTTATGCACGTACATCAGTTTGTTAAAAAAAGAGAACTAAGATGAAAACAAATATTGATCACACCAATATTTAGTTGCTGTGTAATCAGATTCTTTGGAATTTGTCTTCTTTTATTTATTTTTTAAATCGGAATTGTGTTCGCAACCGTTGTCCTAATTCTTGTTTGATCGTTGATCACGTTGTAATTCGTTTGTGATTGTTTATCAACTTTGGGAATCATAACATATAGGTTTTCCCGTTCTATATCGCAACTTGTTCGTCCAATAAGAGAGACTGTTAATTACACTGCGAAAGGTCGCATTTAGCGCATTCGATTTTTTGAAAAATATTTTACACCCACCAAAGCGTGAAGGCAACTTTTTCGTGCAAAAGAAAATACATTTCTTTTGTTGGTTTTCGATTTTGCACCGAGTGTCGGCGAATCTGTAAGAGGAAGTATTCATTTTCAACGAAAGTGCAATGGAATAAGGAGTCTTTTTAATTTGCAATTCGCAAATCGCCAATCGTATTGGCCATAAAAAAAACCCAAATTTATATGATTTTCAATTTTTTTTTACTTCCAAAGAGTGATTACAACAATTAACAAACTAATCACTTAATTGTTCTTACATAAAAATCTGTATTTTGACATAGTATTATATCGGCGAGTGTTCTAAATGTATTTCCTTCTATCACTTTGACACTTTACATTGATACAGTTCTGTTCTGCTTTTTTCATATTCCCTTCCCAGGCATTCCAATCTTTGAAATAGCTGTAGATTCCTTAATCCAAACTTTTCAAAAGCCATGTCATTTTTATACTCTGTTGTATCACTATAATACAATACCTTGCTAATGCAACTTCCAAAATTCATTGAACTGTGTTGCTTTTGTAAACGTATGCATTAAAGTGAAATCCCGAGCGAGACTGATATTCAAATCACAAGAAATTCAATGCACAAGTCACGTAATTTGCTCCTTACTTTTCACGCGTGAATGAAGAATACCCTGAAACATGTTGAGCTTTCGCTAAATTCAACCGGGTGTGAAAAGGTCTGCATGTTTTATGCGATTTTGAATAAAAATGTTTTATTATTATTATTAGCAAAGTATGAAATTGGGCGGGAAACCCTATAATATTTCATAGTGAATGAAAAAGTTCATTTCTGCTTTAAAACTCATAGTGAACTGGAGATAAAAGTACATTTGCCTGGACAAGTGCAACAAAAGCTTAGAATGCCAACAGACTTTTGACCGAGTTACTAGTGTCTCAAAAAAAGATACATGCCTTCAGAAAAATTAATTAAAAAAAAATCGTTTCAATAATAACGTGTAAACAAATATTATGCTTATTTCAAGAATAAGTCAATTCGAGAGAAATTGAACAAGGCGACAGTAAAACAGGTTGTTTTTCTTGACGAATTCGGTCAGGAAAACCTATTATTTTAATTACTTGACCCTAATAACTTGGTGAGAAATTTTTCCTGTTTTGGGGTGGCAATGTATCCCAATGAGAAAAAAATCTCACTAATTTATCTTAATTGATAATAAAATAGTATTAAAATGAAACTTAACCAGTATTCGTTTGTATGTTTTTTTCAGCCTACACTGAATTCCCTGTGATCTCTTCTTGGACCTGATCTTCAAGAACGAACCATCGAGGTGGGTGTGGTGAGGTTTGAATAATGATTCTATCAGGACCGAGGAAGGGGCAAGATGTAATCCGTCCCCCCCCCCCCCCCCCCCCCCACCAAAAAAAACCGAAATACTACAGCTCCGGAACGCTTCACCCTATCGGAATGCATTTTGGTGACCTTTCCTAACCGGCGAAATTTAAAAAAAAATCGATTCGGTGGGTTGCCATACACCACTGTTATATAACAAAGAAAACATTCTTCGAACAATGATTCCTCCAATCTCATTTTTTTTTTTTTTTTTTTCCTTCAAATCTGACGGCGGATTGTCATGAATTGTAGACTAGTTCTCCTGTTTATCAAACCTCAATATTTTTCTCTACTCTTCCTGTTTTTAAAAACTATTTTACCTGATTTGTTTCAGTTTAATCGTTGTTGTTCTGTACAGAATGAAGATCTTCGTGGCAACCGTTATTCCAATCGCCCTCCTTCTGGGTAACTCCGTCAACCTCCGAGCTTCCGTTACTGGGCCGGTTCCCTCGGACGGTGATGGTCCTGCGTCTCAGGCGGGCCAAACGTGCTGCCAGGAAACAGCTGCAATTGTCGGAATTTTACAAGGGTCAAAGGGTGATGCAGGTCAAAAAGGAGAGCCGGGTGACGACGGCAGAGGCCTGCCGGGCAAGATGGGACCAAGAGGTTTTGTGGGGCCAACCGGGGAAACTGGTGTCAAAGGTCAACAGGGTGATATCGGCCCCCGGGGTCAGCGGGGAGCACGTGGTGTCAAAGGTCAGTTGGGGCTCCAAGGTCGTACTGGTATTGCAGGCGAGCCAGGGCTTATCGGACCGATTGGCCCTCAAGGTGACACTGGGCCTAAAGGTTCAGTCGGGCAAACCGGTCAGACTGGTGTCAAAGGTCAAAAGGGTGAGCCAGGGGAGGCACCAGACGACTCCAACCAGCGGGTAGCATTCACCGTGGTGAGGACGGGCCACTCGGATACCTCTACGAGTGGCGCCACCCGTTTGCCCTTCCAGGCGACCGAGACGCTTCTGCCGGGTACCAGCTTCGATCTCGAGACCGGCGCGTTCACGTGTGGTGTGCCGGGCACCTACGTGTTCATGTTTTCTGTGTGCAAATATCCTTCCAGCAGCCGCCTGTACGTTCATCTCCGGAAGAACGGCGACGTGGTTGTCTCTGGCCTTAGCAATGATTCAAGTCACTTTGAGCAGGTGTCTGGGAGCGCGGTGGTGGTTCTGCAGCGTGGAGATACGATGTATCTCACAATGCACGGTAGGGCGCATAGTAATTCCTGGCACTACACCTCATTCAGTGGCTTCCTCCTTTACCCCGAATAAACACAACAAACACAACATACAAAGATACACGAGCATTGTGTTGCTGATTTTTTTAATCGCTTTCCATTTTGCAGAAACAATAACCAATGAATTAAAAGAAATAATGTTCAATGACAATGTCACAAAATATTATTATTAATGGTTTTGCATTGCGCATGTGCCGATCTGTATACAAAAATGGATTCACCATTTTTTTAAAATTCTTGCAAAACAAAATATTTAGCCTTATGCATGAGTATTGAGATATAGTGAAAAGTATGCGTTAAGTTTTTTGACGATATTTTTTTGTACCCATTGTAGGCCTATCGAGAAGTATTTTGATGGAATATTTTTTCAAAGCAAGCTGGGTCATTTTTTTTTTAGAAACAAAGGTTTGCAATAAAGCAGTGCCACCATGTATCGAGACAGGTTAACGACTAAAAAAAAAATGTGTTTATGGCGTTATCTCGACCAACCTGGATTTTTAAGGCCATGTTTCTGACCGCCATTTTTTTCTATTGCCACACTTGGTCAACATATAAAATAACGTGTTTTTTTTCCCCCGAAAACAAATGCAACTAATTTGTAGTATTGGGTATTTAAAACAGATTAATTAAACACAATAACTGTATCCTAAAGCAAACAAAGTTTAAAAAACATAGACAAACAAATAAAATATTTTGCTACCTACCTGGATAATTTTAGGGCGTTTACTGTAACATGTTATTTTCTTCGCCTTATGTTCCCTGTATGCCCAGCACAGATAATGTCAATTAAATCAATCCCATGCATGTATCAATTTTTATTTCATGTCACGAAAAAAGTTTCGAGTGATTAAATCTGATTTTCTAATAGACTTTAAGCTTGGCATTTGGATTAACAATTGTTTGAAATATTCTAATGCTATTCACAGCAATTAGAACACACTGGTTTTTATTAAACGATTGCATTATTTTAAACGTTACAATATGTGAGAATTATGTAAAAGTAACAATTGACTGGTTATGAAAACAGTATGCATAAAACCTCATTCTGAGGATTACCAAAAGCACCACCATTGTTGATAAATACTCTCTTTTTTTCGCTTGGCTTCGTTATGAAAAAAACAATGATTTTAATTACTTTCAGTTGAAACAGAAACGTGCCCACAGTAATGAAAAAAGTGGAGTTGGCTGTTGTTTTTAAACCCGTAAAAGTGCGACAAGTGTTTCTTGATCAAAAGACTCCAAATTATTTGAAGACTTTTATTGTTCTTAATCAGCATTACTTGATTGCATTCAAGAAACTCACTTTGAAAACATCAGTGAAAGTGTCAGCCCGTTAGATGGTAAAGAAACAATCTCAACGAAATCAATCAAAACAAAGCACAATTCCATTCAAGTGAGGAGGGTCTTTCAACTGGTTGGAATTGTCCTTTGTCACTTTATCATTTCAAGTGAATTTCTGTGTATTGACTTTTATTTGGATGCCATATTTGGCATCCCTGCTGACAGCATATCCTTGGATAATGTCTCCAGCCAGCACATGTACATGTAGGCTGAACAAGTACGCTTCCTGGGAATAGGTAGACTCCTGCAAGAAATCAAAGAAAAGGTTATAATGGACCCTTCCTGCATGTCAATCAACAGTGCACATTGACCAATCAGATCACCACTTTTGATCAGGTGACCACAGTAGCTCAGTCAGACTGGGTCACAAGCACTGTTAGATCTATTGCTCACCCCGCCCCCATTTTTTGCACCAGCGTTTACCCCCCCCCCCCCCCCCCCCCCCCAGTATTCTGTAAAGAGTGCCCTTTTTACACAAGTAAATTTTAGTTTTTACACAAGTGTCCTTACTTTTGTTTAAAAAGTTTCTTGTTTCGCCAGCGGCTTTTAAAGAATTTTTGGTATTTCGTGTAAACGTCAGCAATTGTGCCGCCATGAAAAGCGCCACCCATTGACCTACCGCCGTTTGCGAGTTAACCACCCCTTAGACAACTCTATAAGCCTTTTCGCTGATACCGCCATCTTTGAATTTTTTTTCGGGGGGGGGGGCATTACAATGAAAATACGTCTCATCATGCAACTGTAGCTGAGAATGATGGGATGACTTTTCAATGTAATGCCCCCCCCCCCCCCATTTCAAAGATGGCGGTATCTGCGAAACGGCTCATAAAATTTTGTACGTTAACTTTTGTTTGTCTCAGATTTTGGCGTTCTGCGTCCATTTGTATATCATGTTTAGACAATATTTTACAAGCTGCGTTGACGCAATTCCACCGTGATAGGTTAATTGTCCGATAGTGGCCATTATCGCCGGTTTGTACTTACATGACAATAAGCTGAGCCTCCTGGGAATGTTGGCGAAGCAATTCACGGATCCGCATCTGTCTGTTGGTCTGAAAGAAAAAAAAGATTTCAGGCGAAAAATTGCGTGATTTATTGATGTTTACTAAAGTCGAGTTCCATGCACTTGGCAAATCAAATAAACTGAGAGTTGTACGAAAAATGGATTGAAAGTGATCAATCTCATTATTGAAAATCAGCCTCCAGAATGTCAAAGGTTGGACCCAATTAACAGATGTTGCAAGACTGGACTTGAAATCACACAAACCAGGGACTTAGCGTAAAGTGGACACTGGGAAAGCTTTAAGTGTATTGTCTCCATGCATGGACAAAAGAGGGCGCTTTATAGTCAAACTAGCAGAAACCGGAATGAGGGACACTTCACTGGTTCACTCATGCTGGTTATCGTGTATTTGGTACCAGCATTTATAAGCCACGATGGCGCCCAAATGGCCCTTGTTTATAGTTTTCTCTGTGGAGGGGGGGGGGGTGCTTGAGCGCAAGGAGGAGATTCTACCTTCTCGTTGAGCGTAGTGACTTCTTCCTTGCTGATCTTCCAAGGAAACTTCTCCATGGTCTCCCCTGCTTCCTCATCCAGCATCCAGGGTTAGGACAGCTCCTTGAACCGTCTCAGGCTCTACTCCTTGGGCTTCTTGTTCAGGTCCGGGATGACCTCCACGTCCGAGCAGTTGATGCGGAACTTGCTGAGCATGTTGGCCATGTTCATCTTCTCCCTGTTCATTTGCTCCTTCTTGCCCGTGGCGGCAAAAATGCGCAGCCTGCATTTTTCCCAGTTGGATTTCAAGGAGATGAGGTTGGGATGAGTAGGGTCAAGCCTGGGGGGGGGGATGGTGGTGGGAGGTGGGGGCTGAGGGTGGGGGGGGTTCACAAACAAAAATTATACAGAGCATTATTTCCCTTTGACATAAAGCATGTGTTTCCTTAGACATGCAGCCATCCAGAATAACCCGAGAGATCTCTGAAAGGCTCCCTGAAATGAATAGGACACTGAAACAAAATAATAAAGCCAACCAAGAACAAAAAGTGTGGTGTTTTCTATTAGGCCAAAAAAAAAAGTCGGTCTCTGGTCGGCGCGCGCGTCGATTTTAATCATGCACGTCAATCTTTTTTTTCCAAAATGTTTCGCGGTAGCTCCGACAGCGCCCTCTATTACCGCATCTCCTCAATTTTTTTTTAACAAAGAGCACCAAGGAATGGGAAATTGCTAGAGAGCACCATCGAGAGCACCAAGGCAAATTATGGAGGACACCAATGTACATGAGGACACCAAAAAAGCAAAATAGTACCCCACCTGGGCCAAGTTCGCGCAAGGACTATAGTTGACCAATGGTTAACTAACGTTTGCCCGAACTCTGTCTAGTCGACGGTGATTGACTACGCTAGTCGACTATTTGGAACCAGCCTACTGGGGTTGGTTGCTTCGCTGGTAACCAATAGCCGTGCGTATTCATAACGCTAGCAGAGAGCCAGGATCCGGAAGTTTTGCGATGACATTTTGACCAGCTGCATTTGACTAGAGACGTTCGCACGTTGCTATCAGTGCGCAGGCGTAAGGTACGTCACAAATCAACCACTAGTCGACTAATGGTCCTTGCCCGAACTTGGCCTTGTCTGTACAATCCAAGCTTGAAAAAAAAAAAAGCAAAAAAAAAAAAAAAAGCCACGTCCCCGCGTCAATTCCGGAACTTTGGTCTGACCAGAGACCAAATTTTTTTTTTTGGTCTACATATAAGAAACAACTGTGTGGTAGGGTAGGTAAAGATCTGTTTTTGGGGGGTTTGACATTTCTATAGCCTGAAAATATAAGGTGGGATGATAGTCATTAAAATTTACTTTTTTTCTCTATTTTGCATGCATTAGTAAAGGTGAATCATTCTGCACTTCTGACCAACTTACACAAAAATAAAAATAAAGTTTATAGTTTTCACTATAGAAGGGGGGGGGGGGGGGGTGCTTGAGCGCAAGGAGGAGATTCTACCTTTTCTTTGAGCGTGGTGACTTCTTCCTTGCTGATCTTCCAAGGAAACTTCTCCGTGCTCTCCAGGCTGCTTCCTCATCCAGCATCCAGGGTTTGGAGAGCTCCTTGATGATTGTGTTGGTCTTGATCTTACCCAACCCACCAATCTAGACGGAAACCAATCAGGAAGGAAAATTTGAATGCATTTGCTCTAAATACATTATGTCCAGGTCTTGGAAAAGACCAACGTTAGTGCTGAAAAAAAGCTAGAAACCTGGACAAATCTGGTTTAATGATCTTGTTATACATTTTGCCACTTTGACTTAATTTTTTAAAGACCTGCTTGCATTTTACTCAAACTGTTCATCAAAATTCATTCCGCAAAGTCTTCTTCAAGTACTCATGTGAGTACACATTTCGGTACTCAAAATACTCATCGAAATATTCATTAAAATAATTCACCAGGGGTTACACAAGACTTGTAAAAAGGTACTCAACTAATACAAAACCTCAGGATTCATTGAAAACAAATGAATCGACTCATAAAGTAGTACTCAGTAAAAAGTAGTCTACTTGTCAAAAAAAATGCTCAACTCATACTCGACTTATCGCAGACTGCTTCACTCGTCAAGCAGACTCGACTTAAAAGACCGAAGTTATCAAACAGTACCTCAATCCATTTAAAACTGGTGTTCCAGAGTCCCTAACTTAACTCAACTAAA